GAGTGATCTGGGATGGTATTTGAGGTGTTGAGATGGATTTTGTGATAGGTGTTGATGTATAGGATGTTGTGTTTGGTAATTTGTTTCTGTATGGTATTAGAAGCATGGGTGGGATAGGAGATGTATTTCTGGATGGTTCGATTGATGACAATTTGGTGAGAGGTAGATCTATTTAGTTGAAAACAATATGACTAGATGTAATGATTTTGTTGGTGTTGAGTATTAGACAGTAATAACCTTTATGAGCGATTGAATATCCAATAAATATACAGTAGGGAGCTCTTGGGGAAAGTTTGTTGGGGGAGTTATGTTTTTTCCATGTGAAACATGAACACCCAAATACCTGAAGATGGTTATAGCTGGGATGCTTGTTGTATAATACGTAGTGAGGGGTTTCATCTTTAGTGTTTTGGAGGGGGTACAGTTTATGAAGTGTACAACTATGGTAAAAGCAGATGTCCAAAATGACTGATTTATGTTGGTGGATGTTAGAAGAGTACGTGTTATTTCTATGAGATGGCAATGCTTATGTTCCGCCATGCCATTTTGTTTTGGTGTGTAGGGACAACTTAGTTGATGGTGGATGCCATGCGAGTTGAGGTATTGATTAGGGGTGCAAATGAGTCGAGTCGAGCTCGAGTCAGGATGTGTTTGAGTCGAGCTCAACTTTCATATACCGAGCTCGAGCTCGAGTCAAGTCAAGCTCAAAAATTGAGCTTGAGCTTGACTCATTCTATAGGAAATGAGTTCGAGCTGCTCGTCGAGTTGCCCATCTGGCATGGTCAGCTCATTTTCCAATATGGGCGGTCCTTATAAAGCAGGATAAAGAGTGATAAAGAGAGAGAGAAGGTTTTGATATATGAGCAGTTTTTAAGATGTTAGCATTTATGAGTGGTTGTCAGAGGAGAGAAAAAGAGAGAGAGAGAAAGAGAGAGAGAGAGAGAGAGAGAGAGAGAGAGAGAGAGAGAGAGAGATGGCTCACCATTTGAGAAACATCGGGATTTTTTTAGGAAAGTAGCTAGCGGGATTTTGAAAATTAGGAGGGATTTTGAAATTGTAGCAAAATTATTAGTAACTTAAAAAAAAAATTAAATTTAATAATTTCGAGCTGACTCACGACCGAGCCTCATCATGCTCGAACTCGAGCTCGTTTAACAAACGAGCTCGAGTTTGAGTTCATGCTCGAGCTCATGGCTCGATAAGCTCGACTCAAGAGCTCATAAACGAGTCGAGCTCGAGCAGGCTCGGCTCACTTGCACCCCTAGTATTGATTGAATTCTGTGGAGGTATACTTGCCACCGCCACTGTCAATTTTTAGTATTTTGATGTTATGATTGAACCGAGTCTTGACGAGCATATGAAATTGTTTGAATTTGTGGATTGTTTCAGATTTAGAGTACATAGGAAAATCCACATGTAATGTGAGTAGTCATCAATAAAGAGTATGTAATATGTAAATCCTTGAGATGAAATGGGTGCCGGACCCCATGCATTGGAATGAACTAGTTCAAATTGAGAGGATGATTTACTATTTGAAATAGGAAATGATAATTTGTGGCTTTTGGAAGCCTTACATGAATTGCAAAATAAGGAAGATACAATTATTTGAAGTTGTGGATACATTTTTGAGAAGGCTTGAAGTGAGGCTTGATGGACATGATTGAGCCTTTGGTGCTAGAGATCTGATGTTACATGGGCGTTGAGTGCTTGGTGATGCATAATCGGATACAGGCCTTGATGACACTTTCCTTGGAGTAGAATTTTATGTGTTGTTCTGTCCATTATTTTGAAGCCATGTGAGTCAAATTCAACAATGCAATTGTTGTCATTAGTAAGATTTTGAACATATAATAGGCTGTGAGATAGATATGGGACATGTAGTATTTTAAAATGGTGGAGCTTATAGTTGGGTGTGGGTAGGATGCCTTTGCCGGAGTGAAAAATGTTGAGATTGTTTCCATCACCAGCCGTGACTTGATCAGTTCCTGTATATTCTTCAGGATTCTATATTTAAGAAATGTCTAAGGTAAGATGAGATGAGGCTCCAGTATCTAGAAACCAGTTTGTTGGATTGGGATTTTTGGTTCTTGTAAGAGCTGCGGTATTATTTGTTTTTGAGGAATGTATGATAGATTTGCTCTTTGTCAGCAGTTAAAAGCGTTGTGGCCCATTTTGCAGCATATTTGACATATGGTGGATGATCTTTTCGATGGTGGGATGGTATTGGTGTTGGATCGAGGTTGGTTTGAGGTTCTTCCACGATCTCTTGAGTTATTGAAATTTCCTCTGCCACTGTGACTGAAGAAAGCCACTGTGGAGTTAGCTTGTAGTTTTTGATTTTTTGATTGAATATTGGTTTCTTCACTGGTAATAAGAGCATAAACATCGTCTAGATGAATTGGTTCAAATTTGGTTCGAATTGCGGTTTTGAATGACTGAAAATATGATAGAAGACCATTAAGTATGTACATAACAATATCTTCAGAATCAATGTGGCTCCCAGCCGCTTTGAGTTGATCTATTATGGTTTTAATACGGGTAAGGAATTCTGTGATTGTGTTAGAACACATTGAGATGTTGTGTAATTCATTTTTAAGTCGAATTACTCTTGATCGATTCGTTCTTTGAAGACGTTTCTTGAGAGTTCTCCATATGGCGTGTGAGGTAGAATAGTGGGATAGATTGTTGAATAGAGTGCATCACAAATGTTTTGGTTGATTAGTTTCCAGATAGTATGTTCTTGATTGAGTGTTGGTTGGTTAGACGAGTCTAATAGGAATTGAGTAGGACATGTGAATGTTCCCTCAAGAAATGGAAAAAAAAAACCATTTACGGTGAGGATTTTTGAGATTTGAGAGCTCCATAGTGGATAGTTATTGGTGGTGAGTGGAGAAGTGGCTAAGGATTTGAAATTGCTCATTAGGAATTTGAGTGTGGAAGGGATGGTAAGGTTGGTGGATTGTTGTAGTGTGGTTTCTGTATTAGTATTGATAGTAGGAGAGGAAGAGGAGTTCATCGTTGTCAAAGAAATGGCTAACCTAGAGAGGATGAAGGGGATGAGGAACGACTATGCTCTGATACCAAGAAGACAAGAACTGAAGAATGTAATATGCTGATCAGAATAGTTGAGAACTTATACAGCTCTTCATTACATTTAAAGAGTTAACATACATCTATATTTATAGGTATTTGTGTGCAGTCATTTGTTATGTTTGTTATGAATAGTACATAGAGAATGTGAAGAGCACATGGGACACCACATGTTCAGTTATAAAAAAAATTGACTAATATTGTATAATATTTAAATTCATTTAATCAAAATTTTAATTTTTTTTCTTTAAAATGATAGAAAAATAAATGAATATCAAATGGATTAACAATATTATAGATGAAAAAATTAAGAAATTATTAAAGATTGTACAAAATAAAGTACTTGAAGGTAATATAATAAAAATAAATTAAAAAAAGGAGTATGATAATAATAAGGATCATGATTAGAGGTGTAAGTGTGCTAACTCAAATTTGACTTGTTAACGAGCTCGTGAATATAGCTTATTGAATCAGGAGTACGAGTTCTACCGTAAAATCAACCTCATATATCATGTGAGCTCGAGCTCAAGATTGTCCAATCCGCTTAATTTGTCGGCTTATTGAGCCGGCTCAATTAATTTTAATTAAAATATTAATATTTATATCAATTTAATTATTTTTTAATCCAAATTCATAATGAGTCATTCTCGAACTTTCTTATCTAGCGCAATCATTTGAGTTGTGTTTGAGCCTCATATTGTTCACTAATGTGCAGGGGCAGAGCCAGGATTTTGTTCATGTGGGGGCACAAAAATATTGAAGTAAAAAAAAAACCCTCAACGTTTTTCATCTGGGCTTGGGACCGGCATAGGCGGTTTTAATTTTTTTTTAAACATTAAATTCATTATAAAAACTTAAAATATATAGTAAAGCAAAAAACTTACAATTGAGAACATAGTCTTGATATTCTTCTTATATGTTATCTATAATTTCTCCCGTCGAGTCTTCATTTTTTGAAATTGTTGTACAATCAAGTCATTGTCAATACAACTAAAAATATCTTTTTCAATATAAGTAAGTAAACAGTCATTCATCAAGGAGTCTCCCATACGATTGTGTAAATGATTATTTATAATTTTTGTTGCAGAAAAAGCTCGTTCAACTGTTGCCGTAGCAATTGACAATATCAGAGCAAGCTTTATAAGTGAGAACACCAAAGGAAATATATCATGCTTTCTTGTCTCTACTAATTTCTGAGCAAGTTCTCCAACTCCTTTTAAATTTATAAATGCATCATTCGATCTCATATCAACAATAAAATTTTCTATTTGATTGTCTAGTATGATGAGATCCATTTCAGAGAAATCTGACGGATAAAATTTTGCAAGACGAAGCAATATTTCTTTATCAAAATCTGAAAAAGACTGATATGAATTTAAACATGCCACACACATAAGTAATTATATTTTAATTTCATCAAATCTATTGTTGAGCTCTTGAAGTTGCAAATCTATAACAGTGTAAAATAACTCAATTTGATAATGATGTCTATTTGTTATACTTTCAGTACGGCGTCTTGATCTTTCTCGCATCACAAATGTATCAGTCATGTTTGAAATACTTTATGTTATTCTTCTCACAAAACAAGTCAGTGGGGGCCACTGCCCCCATTGCCCCCACACTGTATCCGTCAGTGGAGCTCAAGCTTAGCGAAGGAACTCGAGCCAGACTCGAGCTCAACATATATTAAACATGCTTAGTTTGATTAAGCAAGATTCGACTCAGACATAACTGTTTACAGCCTTAATGACAACATCGTGGGAATAAGCACTGCCGAGGAATCCAAGGTCTTTGGGCCTCCATAAAGCCATGTTCTTCTCTTCTTCCCACAAGTAATTGAACGGCCCTTTTGAATTATTCGGGCCGTCCACATGATGCATGTGACCCACTTATTGCCTTCGTCGGAATCCGTAGACGTTGGAATACAATAATGAAAACGTTTGCCATGCAGGATAGAAACCCTACAGGGACCTCTCTTCGAACAGCTACAACTATAAGTAGCCATCGATGGAGATGAAAAGCTCAGAAAAAATATAAAGCAAGCTACAAGTACGAGCAGCACAGATACTTATAGAGGTTTTACTGTATTTTATATTGATTAATTGATGGCAATGGCTTCGGAAGTTGGCGGATGGGAGGAGGTGCAGAAGGCAGAGGCTGACGAGAAGCTGGATGGCACTTCTTACACGGTAAGATTGCTATTAGATATTTGAATTCTAGTCATGTTTTTTAAACATAATAAATAATCCTTAACACTCAAATCATTGATCGTAATTACTTTCTGATTATTAATTTTTAAAGAATTTTTTAGTATAAGAATTTTTTAAATTAGGCTACATACGATCTTCTTTTCAATTTGATGTATGTTGGATATTCTTTTCATGAACAGGAAAGCAATGTCTCGGGCTCCGATTCAAAAGTTTCTGACCTAACAAAAGAAGCCAATGCGAAGACAGAGAACAATGTGGAAGATAAAGGAGAGAAGAAGAACGAAGAAACCTATGCTGCTATCGGAGATGAAGAAGAAGATGATGAGAAGCTTCAATGCCATCATAGCTCCGACTCCGACACTAAGTCTAATGGCTCTGGAAATAACTCCGACCACAGCTCTAAATCAGCCACTCAAGTACTTTTTTTTTAAACAAAAAATATAATTCTTTTGAAGAACGCGCTAAAACTAATAGCAATTTGAATTTCTTTAACATTTTTTCTTTTCGCTTTCTTTTCATTAATTCTCTCTCGATTTCTTCTAACCCTCAAACAGACCAATTCCAAGGAGAAAGCTTTGAAGAAGAAACAAAAGAAAAGAGCTCTGAAAGGGAGATCAAAGAAACAAACAACTGAACCGAAAGCTGAAGACGAGCTTGAATGCCGCAGCGGTCATTCGAACACCAATTCTGGAGCAGATTCAGACAACAGTACTAAATCGAACTCCAGCTCCAAATCTAACTCTGGCCCCAAATCTGGCTCAAACTCGGTAATTTAGATCAATTTTCTTTCAGCTTAATTAATAAGAACACTCAAGGGCGGAACCCTATATAACTTAGGGGGGCAAGTGCCCCCCTCAAAAAAAAATTTTTAACTTAAAGGAAAGTAAAAAATCCATTTTGCCCCTCCTAAAAATTCAATTTTGCCCTCCTAAAAAGCTTTTTTTCCCCTATTTGTCATTGCTTAATTCATCTCAACCATACATTGAATTTTTTGCTTTATCTTCTCCCAATGTATCTATATTATCTATTTTTTAATTGCTATGACAATAGATAGTAATGAAGGCTCATTTTTCTATGCAATAACTTTATTTTAAAAATACCTTTTGAAAGTGAGTTAATTAGTACACAAAAAATCTCTAGGATTTGATTAAGAATATCAATTATGTATATTTGTTTCATGTTCTTGCAATATATATATATATATATATTAGTGGATGATAAGATTATAGAGAGTCGTCTTAGATGATTGTGTCATGTAAAATTTCGGTCATTCGATGACTCGATAAGGAGAGTAATTGTATAAGATTTGAACTATATAACGAAAGATAGAGGCAGACCTAAAAAGAGGGGTTTAGAAAATATTAGAAATGATGTTTTTTTGAAAAATTTATATGAAGATGTGGAAAAATTATAATAAATAAATTATATATAACATATTAAAAAAAGAAGAAGAAATCATTTAGTTTGTTCTATAAATTGAATCCTCTTTTTTTTTTCCTCCTTTGGTACACTAAGAAGAAGAATACTGTGCTGAACAGGGAAACGAGAAAAAGAAGGAAAAGAAAGAGATTTCCGATCAAAAGAAAGGTGAAAGCTTCAATGAACAGAAGGAAACTGCAGAGGAGAATAAGCTCACTGAAGCTGCAGATGAAACTAAAGCAAAGGGTGAAAGCAATAGCGAAATTACAACAGCAAAGGAAAAGAAGGGAATAATTGGAAGGATCATTGAAAAGCTGCCGGTTTAATAGTAGAAATGGCCAATGAATGCTGCTATCACATAATGGGCTTGTTTAAATAAATTTGAAGTCATATATGTTGGTTTTACGCATTTGATGATTGTCTTTGTCTAAGGTGTGTGTGCTTTGTGTGACTGTGAAGAATATGGTTTGTTAAGTATGAGAGGCATTAAAAGCCGTTATATGGTTATATGCCAATGTAAATAAATCTTTGCATAAATGAAATTATGAAATTTTTACATGTTTGGTGTTGGGGATTATTTATTTCATTTGGAGAACTTAAGATCCTTTGGTGATAGATTTTATTAAGAGGTTTTATGTGCAATGGTTAAAGCTTAAAAAAATACGGAAAATCATTCATTATCGGCGGTCGATATCCGCTGGAAATAAAAAAAAAAGTGCATTAATGGCGGATTTTTTGGGGAAATATAGTCGATGGTAAAACAAGCGTCGGAAACCATTTTCTTGCTGGAAATAATTTTGGCGGATTTATCGATGGAATTTTGACGGAATTGTGCAGCAATATTCGTCATTTAAGAGGCAGACTTATCAGCAATTTTGACATAGTTAATTCCTGCAAAAAAAATTATGCTAGAAGTTCCGGTGGATAACCTGTTGAAAAATTCCGACATAAGTTTCGGCGGATAACTTTACAGAAACTTCTGACGAGTTATCCGCCGAAATTTTCAACGGATATTTTCTGCTGGAAATGCGATACATTTTTATCATATCTTCATTTTTGTCTAATTTTCAACGATAAATTCTCGTAAAAACTATATATAAAAAAAAACACTCCCTTTTATGTTTTCTTAAACATAACAAACTTACTTATATATATATACATATCATATTCATTCAAATATTGAACATAAAGACATGCTAGATGCATTTAATAAGAAATTTGATCACAATATTTTATTGAACATTCACCAAATAGATTAAAATTAAACATAAAGTTTGTTTGTTACACAATTTAAAATGGTCAATAAAATATACAAACATACAAATGAAATTTCCAACATATAAATGAAATGTCCCGTAATGACAAAAAACATCTAATCAGAATCAGTCTTTGCCTCTTCTGATGCTGTCTGCTTTCCATTGAATTGCTCTCAATTTCTATAACTCATCCAAGAATTGAGTTTAAAGCATCTAAATCTGTATCTGCATGTATCCTTGTAATTTCTGAACTTTCTTTAGTTCAACTGTAAGGTTTGCTACATGTTGGCTATATAATGACTCATAGCTATTTGCTGAGAAGCTGGAGCCACCAGATATTTGCCCCTCATAAGCATAGGACTGCAAGCCTAAAACATAAACCCAACCTTTATGCATTCCTCTTACTGGTTGCGACCAAGTGCATTAGTCAGAATAATCTACCAATCCCCCCAGAAGATCCCTCAGCTGCTATAGATTGGTTCTCTCTGATGAATCTTGATTAAAAAAAAACCTTTAAATATTCGTAGCAAGTTAACTAAGAATTTTTGAAAATAAAATTTTCAATCACAGAATAAAAATTTGTAGTAATTAAAATGCAAAAATTTAAATGACACCAAGATTTATAGGGTTTGGTCAAACACGACCTACATCCACTCCCTGAAGACTCCCTCCTCAGGTATTGCACTATTATAAAAAGTGTCTCTCCTTTTTCTCCCACAGTAAGGCTGAGAAGCCTTTACAAAACTCTCTTCCACCAATCCCCGGTGCGACAGAGAACTATCATCCTTTCACACTCTCAATGTGTCGGCAAAGATATGTTGTTTGTTCACAGTCTCCAAGTGTCGACAGAGAACCATCGTCTGTTCACACTCTCTAAGTGTTGGCAGAGAACCGTCGTCTGTTCACACTCTTCAAGTGTCGTTAGAGAACCGTCATCTGTTCACACTCTCCAAGTGTCGGCAGAGACAGTTCTTCTTCAAAGATCTTCTGACGAGCAATCTAGAAAAATAAGAGGAAGAGTGAAAAACACAAATCACACCGAGATCCTTACCATTGAGTAACCTTGTGAACCCTTCACACTCCACTTGCAAGAAATCTCTCTCAAATATTCTCTTACACTCTCTCTTTCAATTGCTCTTAAAAAATCACGAAGACAAGACATTTTCACATAAGTTTTAGTGGAACTGTAATAACAAAGACATGAAAAACCATCCTGAAAACTAAAAATTTCAATTTTGAGCGTACACGATCGTACAATACGATTGTATTTTGTACGTACGAACAGTTTAAAAACTATTTTGTATGAACCTTTTGTGACTCTGCATGAAAACTTTTCATACATTATCATCGTCTGGTATGAAGAGAGACTCCATAATTTTGTACTCTGATCGGTGTATGTACGATGACAACATCGTACGGTATGATTAGTTATGAAAAATATCAAGTTCGTAGGGACGAAAGGTCGGGATAAAAATGGACCTCATAATTTCATACTCTGGAATGCATGTACGAACTATGTTCGTACAGTACGATCCATACTTAGATTTTTTTTTTACGTGACCTAGAACCCATCCATTTGATACTCTGGAAGGCATATACGAATGATATTTGTACAATACGATCCATACTTAGAAAAATTATTTTTACGTGACTTGGAACCCGTCCATTTTAAACTATGGAAGGCCTGTATGAACGGTGTTCATACAGTACGATCCCTACTTAATTTTTTTTTTACGTGACCAGAAACCCGTCCATTTTATACTCTAGAAGGAATATACGAACTGTGTTTGTACAGTATGATCTATACTTAGAAAATTATTTTTACGTGACCAGAAACCCCTCCATTTCGCACTAGTGAAAGAATGTATGAACAGTGTTCATACAGTATAATTTATACTTAAAAATTTTTCAATTTCTGTTCATTTCATTGCACGACGGAAAAAAATAACTGAACAAATCATCCTATACGAAGTGAAATTGTACAGTACGATTAGTTTTAAAAATTTAAGTTTTAATCTCTCCCCCTGTGTGTGTGTGCACAATTATTCAATTACAATCACACTCTCTCAGACTCAATAAAATAAAAAATATAGACTTTAGATACGATAAATTTTAAAATGATCTGAATTGAAGTCTTCAACAATCTGGAGTATAATTTCCCTGAAAGGTTATTACAAAAAACTAACAAAGCAATACATCCAAAATATATTTTGAGAAACAATAATTAAAATAGTAATATTTGAAATCATAAAAAATAATTATGTTGTAAGAATATCAATAATAAATAACTAAGTTACAACAATCTCAACAGTCTCATTCTTTTTTATGATGGCAAAATAATTATTGTTTGAATAAAATTGAATACCCTTAATTTCTCCTTAACTTCCCCTGAATAAATAAACATGTATATATAAGGAAATTTATTTAAGAACAAATCAATTTTTTTTTTTAAATTTTAAAACGCCCTAAACCCTAAAAAAAAGAAAATAAAAGCAAAACAAAAACAAAATCCTAAACAACAAAAGTAAAAATACACAAAATAACACTAACACACAGACCAATCACATACAAAACAATATTTTTTTCCCTTTTGACAATAACGAAAAGGGAATAATGAAAGTTGAAATAAAAGAAGTCATATAAGAAACCTTTAATAATTGATCTTGAAAGAGATTGAATTATAATTGTAATAACAAATTTAATGTCCATTAGATAAAAATACAACAACAACAACATCAAGCCTTTATCCCACTATGTGGGGTCGGCTACATGAATCCTTTTTCTCCATTGTGTCCTATTAAAAGCCAAATTCTCGTTTAAATCTAATAAAGAAAGGTCATTCCTAATATTTTCTAACCAAGTCTTTTTAGGTCTACCCCTACCTTTCTTAACACAAGTCAAATCTAATACCTCTACTCTTCTAACCGGGTCGTCGGAAGGCCGCCTTTTTATGTGACCAAACCATCTAAGGCGACTCTCTCTAATCTTATCTTCTACTGGAGCTACTCCAACCTTTTCACTTATATGCTCATTTCGTATCCTATCTCTAAGGGTAAAGCCACTCATCCACCTGAGCATCCTCATCTCTGCCACACTTAACTTAGTATTATGCTTCTCTTTTAAAGGCCAACATTCGACACCATAAAGCATTGCAGGCCTCACTACCATCTTATAGAAATATAACATAGACAAGAAAAATATATCAAGGTCATGAAATATTAAAGACAATTAGATAAGAAAAATTATTGCAAAAGTGATGTAATGAATATTAATTAAATTCAATTTCCAATACAAAATATATTTGAACATTAGATTGATTTAAATTTGAAGATTAAAAGATAGAGGAAAGAACTTTATAAAAACACTTATTTGGCGACATTGCGCATCTTTTCAAATATTTGTGGCATACTTTATGCATCTTTTTATATTTGGATCAATTTTGTGCCTCTTTTCAATTTGCAAATCATTGAACATTCTTTTGATTTTTGTAAACTTGTATATTTTTGCATTTTTTTAATTGTCCTTCAAAAATTAATAATTAAAAAACTCAAACTTTTCTAAGTACAAAGATAATTATATTGAAAAGAGAATTAAAAAATAATAAGTCATCAAAATTGCAATAGTAGTAATAAAATTATGTATGCCTAAAAAGAACATGAGATTGATAACCTTAACTTGATCGAGTTATAAATTAACTTAAATTTTAAAAAAAATTAGATTTTATAATGAAATTAATTTTTGTATTACAGTTCATATGATAACACTTTTTAGATCAATTAAGTCAGGATTAATATATAAGCAAACTTGAATTTCACACAATAAAAAAAAGCAACTAATCAAAATAAGTCATATTTTATTGATATCAATTTAAAAAAGAGATACATTGAAGCACATTTAATATCAATACATAAAAGCAAAAGCAATATAACATCAAAATTAAAGACTAGAACAAAGGACAAGAAAAAAAAAAACACTAAACAAATAAAAGTACAGAAACTACAAAAATCATCATATCACATCTAAAATGACTGATTAAGATAGCACACAAAAAGCACATCTAAAAATTTGAGGGGCCCTGGTCTGGAGGAGGAGGCTGGTTGAAGATAAAAAAATAGCTATTAATCATAGCTATGTTAGTGTTCACGGATTCAAACTATCCTTGAATCCACCCCATGTATTGATGGTACTGAGTATCCTGCCGGTGTAGATGAGCCTAAATTTGATTAAAACACTGATCAAAATGGCTCTCTAGCCAGTCAAAGCACTGCACCATCTCCTAAAAATTAGGTCCATGAGCAAGCG